ATTGATAATTTTAAGGAACAATGTAATTCTAAGAATCATATTGATATAGCTATATCTTATGGTGAATGTACATTAATTATAAGTATTTTTATAAGTTTCAATTATTCTAATGTAAACATATGTAAATAGCTATCTCGTTTTATTTCTAGGCAATACTAATGCAATCATAACCTGCGATAATATAAGTGAAACTATCAATGCAACTGCAGTCTCTACTAATAATCATGATTATGAGAAAAATTTTAAATCTATATCTTTATTGTCAGATGAAAGAAGTTCTAAAACTGAAACTAACGCTGAAACTAATGTTATATTCTCAGAAACTGATTGCCAGAAGGAAATGACAGTTTTTACCTCTACTAGTAAGAACATATTTATAAAAACCCAGATAGCCAAGCGTGATTAATCATATTAAACAAACTAATGCATTGCATATTGTTACGTCCTGATAGATGTAGAATTTTTTTTGTTGGGCTCGGCGATCGACGTAAACGGGCTTGACCGCACGAGCCGAGCGGCACGTTTAGGACTTGCGACGGGTCAGCGACTGGAAGAGTCGTTTTTACTCCGTCAACAAGTCATCCGCTCGTGGTTCCCTTTTTGGGTCAAGGAATTGAATCCCTATTACCCGGGACGGAACCTTTGTGCGCAATTTGAGAGGGGAGGTGTGAGGGGGTGACGAACGAGGAGGGTGTGGTTAAATGAAAAAGAACAAAAGTTTAATTTACTAAAGACAACATTTTAATTTGACTCAATTTATAATTAGGATACAAAAACTTAATTCTTAATCGCATATGTTAATAATTTTATTTGTGTATTCTTTACAATAATGTGTGTGTGTGTGTGTGTGTGTGTGTGTGTGTGTGTGTGTGTGTGTGTGTGTGTGTGTGTGTGTAATAATAAAATAAAGAGGAATGAACTGACTTACTCGTTGCAGGATAGTTTTGGATCGGGTTGAATATGTTTGGTGGTTCTGAGCAGGCGCCCCGTTGAGGGATGGTGTTGTATAGGCGTCGGACTCTTTTGTAAACGTGTGGGCACCCTGCTGCGGGATGGTGTCGTCAGGGTGATGGACCCTCTACTTGAGATGCACCACTTGGTCGCGACAAAGTATCGACTTGTTTAATTCGCGGCCCGAACTATTCGAAAAAACTGTCTGAAGAACTTGGCAAAACTTGCTTGATGAACTGAGTGACTAATTGTGTATAATTGCGGTTGGAGCCACCAAAACACGGGTTTTTATACCCTTTCCTTGGGGTGGATCCATTTGGAAAATCTTAGGTTTTTGAAGCGGGGATCGAATAGAAATTAGTCTTGTGAGAAGATTTTTAATGTGGGGGAGGGTGGCGTCATTTTTAGCTAATAGGATTAGGTTTAGGTAATTAAGTTACTTGGAAGTGGGGGTAGGAAGAAAGGGGCCTTAACGAATAAGAAATAGCGTCGTTTCGGGTCCATAAGCGATGGGGTAGGTTTTTGAGGTGGCGTAACCCGGTTGGTGTTAATTAGTATAAGTGGGGTGCATCTCAGTGTCTTAAGATCTAGGTGGGCGTAGTCTTTAGACCGTACGACGGAACGAAGGGTGGTCTATAGAGGTGCTTGCCCCGATTCCAGGCTTTCGGATTGGAGGGTTGAGAATCGGTATATGAATTCGCGAGACCTTGGGTCACTGATCTAATAAATTTGACAGTTTACGACTGTCGCGTGGCCCTGGAGTCGCGTGGAGAGTGCGATTAATGCATCTTGGTTTCCCAGACCTACTGAACACGTGCACCGTATCAGGTGTCATGCCTTCTAGGCGTGCGACTGTGGTCATTGCCCGATCGTCACTCGGTAAAACCCTATCTACTAGGGTTCCCGTAGGCGGAATCCAAATATATGGCTAGCTGGTGCCAGTTTTTATTTCTTACTTTAAACATCTGGAGTCGACTAAGGACTCCGGTTACCGATGATTTTTATGATTTTTCTGACGACGATAGGCACGCTGACCGACCAAAGTATTTTCAAATATCTATCCCCCTTGCTATTTTTCTCTGTGAGAAAGTTCGAGCTCATGGTGTCTCGTGAGAAAAACAGCTCTGGCGTTATAATATTCTTTAAGAGTTTTTGTTGGTCCCGTGTTTACTAGGTCTGGTATTTAATAAGAAGAAAAGAATCGTGAAGTCTGATCAGGACGTAACAAAGGCATAATCTAAATTTTTAAACAAAAAAATATTGTTTTCGAAAATTACGGTCAGTTTACTTTTTTCAGGAAGAAAATGAGAATGACGAGGAAATTATACATATATGGATAATTCTCTGACTTTTTCTTAACGTTACTTCAAAATGCATAATTTCATTTATTTGTGACACTCGTAGAATGAACAAAAGCTGTATTTAATTTGACTGAG